AGCGATGCCCTCTTTCACCACTTCTATTGAATAAGTTCTTGAAACTCTAGCCAAATAAAAGAAATTAAAGGGATGCAGATAGGAAAGGAAGAACTCATATTATCACTATTTGCCAAAGATACAATTCTATACCTACAAGACCCAAAAATTCCACCAGAAAACTTCTAGAATAAATGAATTCATCAAAGTAGCAGAATATAAAATCAATGCCATAAATCAAAAACATTTCTGTACATCAGTAACAAATTCTCTAAAAGAGAAATGAGAAAAACTACCCCAGTACAATAGCCTCAAAAATAATAAAATACTTGGGACTCAATGAAAGAGGTGAAAGACTATACAATAAAAATTACAGAACACTAAAGAAAGAAATTAAAAGAAGACCTTAGAAGATGTAAAGATCTCTCTTGCTCTTGGATAGACAGAATTAATATTGTCAAAATGACCATACTAGCAAAAGTACTATACAGATTTAATGCAATCCCAATCAAAATTCCAGTAACATTCCTCATAGAAATATAAAAAGTCATGAAATTAATCTGGAAAAATATGAGACCCAGAATAGCCAAAGCAATCTTTAGCAAGAAGAGTGAAGCAGGAAGCATCACCAAACCAGACCTTAAACTATACTACAGAGCAATTGTAACAAGAATAGCATGGTATTGCCACCAAAATAGACACATACGATAGTACAGAATAGAGGACACTGACACTAACCTACAAAATTACAGTTATCTTATGTTGTGTTCCATGACTAAACACTTAAGGTCATTCCTGGTGAACTGGGCTGTCACGAAATAATCACACAGAGACAGAGAAATACCATTTTTCTTTTTCTTTTTTTGAGTCCTTTGACGGCTCCTCTGACCTCAAGGGTCTGTGGAAAGAGAGACAAGAGCATGTGCTGTACCCTTTTATTGGGAGGAAGCCATTCAAATGAAGCAAGGGGTAGGATTACAGAGAAACCTGCGGGTGACACCTACCCTTGGAGCCATGCCTTGCTATTCCAGCTGGGACAACACCTAAGTCACCACAAATTGTAGTGATTGGTCAGAGCTTCATGCTTCAGGACTGGAAGGCGCGGTCATTCAGAGCAGCTCCCCATAATCTTATATCAGACAAAGCTGCTAAAAACATACATTGGAGGAAAGATAGCCTCCCTCAACAAATGGTGCTGGGAAAAGTGGAAATCCATAAGCAAAAAAAAAAAAAAAAAAGAAATTAAACCCCCATCTCTCACCATGCACAAAACTAAACTCTAAGGACCTAGGAATTAAACCAGTGACCCTGCACCTAATAGAAGAGAAATTAGCCCCAACCTCCATCATGTCAGATTAGGCCCCAACTTCCTTAATAAGATTCCTAAAGCACAAGAATTAAAATCAAGAATCAAAAAATAGGATGGATTCAAACTAAAAAGCTTCTTCTCAGGAGCTGAGGTTGTGGCTCAGTAGTAAAGTGCTTGCCTAGCACATGTGAGGCCCTGGGTTCAATCCTCAACACCACATAAAAATAAATAAAGGTATTTTGTCCAACTACAACTAAAAAATAAATATTAACAACAATTAAAAAAGCTGTTTCTCAGCAAAATAAATAGTGAGGTAAAGAGTGAGTCTATAGAATGGGAACAAATTTTTACCACACGCATATCAGATAGAGCACTCATCTTTAGGATATAAAGAATTCAAAAATCTTAACACTAAAAAACAATAACCCAATCAATAAATGGGCCAAGGAACTGAACAGAAACTTCTCAGAAGAGGATATACAATTGATCAATAAATATAAAAAAAGCTCAACATCTCTAGCAATTAGAGAAATTCAAATCAAAACTACTCTAAGATTTCATCTCACCCCATCAGAAGGGCAGCTATTAAGAATACAAACAATAAATGTTCATGAGTTTGTGGGGAAAAAGGCACACTCATACCTTGCTGGTGGGACTACAAATTGGTGCAACCAATCTGGAAAGAAGTATGGAAAGTCCTTTGAAAACTGGATATAAAAACCAGCATGTGACCCAGCTATCTCACTTCGTGGTTTATACCCAAAGGATTTTAAAACAACATATTATAGGGACGAAGCAGCACAATTCACAATAGCTAAACTGTGGAACCAACCTAGATGCCCTTCAGTAGATGAATGGATTTAAAAAATGTGGTATATATTACACACAGTGGAATATTATTCAGAATTAAAAGAATGAAATCATGGCATTTGCAGAGAAATGGATGGAGTTGTAAAATATAATGCTAAGTGAAGTAAGCCAATCCCCTAAAACCAAATGCCAAATGTTTTCTCTGATATGAGGATGCTGATTCATAATGGGGATGGGGGCGGGAGCATAGGAGGAATGAAGGAACTTTAGTTAGGGCAAAGGGGAAGGAAGAGAAGGGAAGGGGCATGAGGGTAGGAAAGATGGTGGAATGAGATGGACATCATTACCCTAGGTACATGTATGAAGGCTCAAATGGTGTGACTCTACTTTGGGTACAACCAGAGACATGAAAAATTGTATACTATGAATTGAAATGCATTCTGCAGTCATATAAAACAAATTAGAATAAATTTTAAAAAATTAAAAAGATACTACTTTGACCATACTTTGGATGGAGTATATTTTATGCATATATGAATTTGCCACAATGAAACTCATTATTCTATAGATTATGTACTCATACAAATGCTTAGAAATTAAAAAAAAAAAAGTTGCTATCCTAACATCCAGTACCTCAGTATGTGACCTTATTTGGAAGTGGAGTCATTGCGTATGTAAATAGCTAAAATGTCATCCAGGATTTAGAAGGGGCTCTTAATCCACCTCATGTAAGGGAGAAAGAGGAAGACCTGCAGTGACACAGCTGTGAGCTGAGCAATGCTGATGATGGCAGCTGTCACCAGAAGCCAGGAGCAGGAATAGAAAGAGACTATTCAGAGTCTCAAAGGGAGTGTGGGTCCTGCCGATATTTTAATAAGCTCCAAGCCACCCAGTTCTGGTACTTTGTTACAGCAATCCTAAGGGTCTAATACACAGATGTGTTAGTCCTTTTTTTTTTTTTTTTTTTTTTGCTATTAATGCCACAGACTGGGTGAGTTTTAAAGAAACGAGGTTTGCTTTGGCTCACAGTTCTGGTCAAGGGTGAAGGGGCTACATCTGTGACAGTCTCCTGGTGGGTTCTGAGGGGCACAGGGCACCACAAGTTGGGAGACAAGTAGTGTATGCATCTTGGTCTCTCTCAGGTCTCCTTCTTAGGGTCACCAGCATTCAGCCACTGGTTCTCCACCCTAATGACTCTGTGGGATCCTACTCTTTCTCCCAAGGTGCTACCTCTAATCATATCTAAATAGTTCACAATGGCACTAACCCCCAGCATGAGGTTGAGAGGAGCAATCCACATTCCACCCACAGCCAAGGCTCACTGGAAGGGTGGTAAAGGAAGGCTGGAAACAGGCAAGAGATGACTCAAGGTTTCAAGTCATGAACTGTGGGTCGGAAGCTCCTTGAACCGGAAGGTCAAAGTTATTGTCATGGAGATGAATTCCATTTTCAAAAGCTGGTGTACAGCTGACATTTTCTACAGCACTCACCAGTTTACACAATAGGATGTATCTTGGTTTTATTAGCCAAAATTCCTGCCAGAATTGGGCTGTAGCTTTCTTGCCCAAAGCTTTTCTTTTGACATTCTGGCCCATGGGAACAGCTGAGCTGGGAAGCTTCCCTGGACTGGACATCCTAGGGAAGTGAGCAAGGTCGAACTGGGAGATGAGGAAGACCAGTTCTCATTCTCACTTCTATTTTCATTCCAAACTGAGAGGATTTAAGTCAAGGATGTTTCTATTTAATGTGTTTCAGGGATCACGAAGAGAATGCACATAAAACCTTTACCAGTGTGCATGTACATATGGCAAGGAGTGTGATCCTGCTAAACGCATGCGGACTTTGGCAGGCGCAGAGTGCCAATGCTCACTTAGCTCTTCCCACCCCTCAGATGTGAGTCTCAGCAGGTGGGAGGATCCACCCGCTCCCTGGGGCACCTAGGAAAGACAAACTGAAGGCACAGCAAGGGAGACAGTGCCTTGTCCAGTGTCAAGGCAACCTCAGGACACAAGTGGAGCATGTGATACTGAGGGTGACCTGAAAAATGTGAAGGAGAAAGAGGCAGTCTCCTTCCTTGCTCTCAGCATTTGTGGCTCAGCAGTCCCCTGAGGGGGCCAGTGCCAAATCCAACATTTTTTCATTTACACTCCCGCCTTGATGACCAGCATTTGAACAAGCACAGCTTTAAGATATGATGCTGGGAAGGCTTTTTGGCGCGTGTTGATTCCTGGCTACAGATAGTCTTCATCTCTCTACCAGTTCACACATCAAGTCTCTCTGAGCAGACACACCAAGTGCTCACAGGAAGGCCACTCATCACCAGGTCTCTAGTCAGAAGGCTGCGGGGGG